ATTCCTTGTTGAACTTCGTATACGATGCGCTACCATCGTCGTAAACTCTGCTATGCCGAGAGGTTATGTAACTCAAATAGATTTGTCGTTCGGTGTTTTTAACCCTTGTGAACGATCCTTTCAAAGCCACGAAAGACCGCGAAAATGTTTCTATTTCAATTACAATTTTTTTCTCGAAGGACAAATCCACCACTTGATTTGATAATTTATCCCCCTCATGTCGCATATTTCACGTTAGGTATGTTTAGTGTTATTCATTCCCAATTATTATTTGCCTGATCGAATAGAAGAGTTCACTAATGCTGAAATTATATTCCCTGCAGAGAACCATTAGGCCTAGTGCTACTGAGGCAGGTCGTATTCACGTGTCATTTTCGAAAGAGCTGCTCACACCACGCACCCGCTGACTCGGCAGTCGTGCTCCATGGCAAAGCCGAACGTGCACACAAAGGCGCAACCGAGGATGGCGGTGTACCAAAACGGTCGAGTCAGTGTTGCGTCCGGTCTGCTCAACTACTCTGTAGTACTTCTTGTAGTATTGTACTGTCGCAGCAACTCAGATGGGCTCGAGGTTCTCATTTGGGACCTCTGCTCGACCTATCAGCTAATATACTAGGTCACCAATCGGAATTATTTGGCCTAAGTATTATTTTACTACCTGAAACGGTGGTAGGTCCCTGAAGGCAGATAACTGAAATATTTGGTACTTTATTTAAAATAGTAGACACTCAAATAGTCGAACGCCTACAACACAATTTCCTCCACTGGAGAGATGTACAAAATAGCATAAGTAACGATGAAAAATTGATTGAAAATGAGGCTTCAGGGCGCCAGCAGTATACACTACTTTACTTACACCATTTAAGACTTAGAAATACATTTATGGCTGATATCACAAAGTTTAAATTGTAAAATGGAAAAGCCGACGCTCTCCAAAATACACATTTAGGGATGCCTAATTAGGAAGAAGATAGGTTTCTTCTACCTATTTTGATTTCAGGCTGGTGCTTGACAAACTGCACTAGCATTCAATACATTCGCACAAACAACGTGGGCAACTCATTCTCCCACTTCATCACTCATGCCCGTCCATTTAACACGAC